TTTCTTGACAATGCATTGTTACAATGTATCTCTGCAATGTCAATTTCAAGCAGCCCCTTGCACAAGCTTGAGCATGCCCTGGGGCACAGGGCGGGGGGGAAGGGGGGCTGTTTCTGGCTACATAGGATTATATTTTTAACAGTTCTAATAATAATAAATCTAAACATTTAACAATCTTAACAAATAATAATAAGAAGAAGAATTAATAATAAATCTAAACACTTTAAGTTGTGGGGAACAAATTATGGGGAGTCACTTCCATTTGGGGAATCACATTTTTAATACATTGATATGTTATCCCTACAGAGATGCACATGGCCCTCGCAGCTGGCCACTCTCAGTAGCGTGTAGTGTTGCAGCAGGCAAGGAACCTTCCTTAGGGTCTTGCTGGGCTGCTGGTCAGGAGCCACCTAAGGTAAGTGCCTCCCAGCCAGAGCCTGCCCTATGCACACCATCCCGTCCTTCCTGCCAATTCTCTGCACCTCTGCTCCTTCATTGATACACCCTGCCAGACTCAGCACCCCAATCTCCTGCTTCAGGTCACAACCCCCTCCTGCCCTGGGTCATAACACACATCTCTGCACTCCCGTCTTAGAACACAACCCAGTCCAGACACAGCATCTCCTTTTACACCTCTTATCCAGGTCAGAATTCTCTGCTGCACTTATACCCCCTCGCAGATCCTGTACCCCCATCCTGCATCCCAATTCCCTGCCCCAGGTCACAACTTCTTCCTTCACCCTGCAACTCCTCCATTAATATAATGGAAGGGTGTGGTCCTTGACAACTTACCAAATTCTTGGAGTGTCCCCCATCAAAAATTATTGTTACCCTAGTACTATAGCCACAAATCTAGCAGTAAATGCAAATCTACTATTGTATTGGATCTTATTTTCCCTTTTTTCTGTTACATTTTTATTATGGAAAGCTATGGAAGATGATGATGATGATGTAAAACTTGAAGAAGAAATTAATATAGAATTGAGCAGAATCAGTGTTACTTCCCTTGAAGAAGATGATCCCAGCTCTGATTTATCTGCAGATGCTTGGAGTGATGGTGAAACAGTAAGTGTTTGATAGAAACAGAAGAAATAGTACTGCCTTTACTTTTGCATGGCAAACTTGTGTTTTTTGGTGTGCCGTTTCTAGCCTCTTTGTGGGCGTACTCTAGGCATCAGAAAGTCTAGAGCAAGGGAGGGCAATGCATTTTGATGAGGGGGCACGCTGAGATTTTGGTAAGTGGCTAAGGGCTGCACTTTTCTATGGACTGTGGGGTTGGAGAGGGAGTTGTGATCTGGGGTGAAGGGAGCAGGAGTGTACAGAGCATTTGGGTAATGACCTGGGGCATGGGATTGAGGGTGGGCGGGGATCCATGGGGGGATATGGGTGCAGGAGAGGATTCTGGCCTGGGGCAGGGGCATAGGAAGGGATCCAGGAGGGGGTGGGGTTTCAGAGGCAGGCTCTGATCCAGAGGTACTTTACCTAAGTAGTTTTTGGCCAGCAGCACTCTCAGGCAGACTTCCTACCTGCTAGCAGTCACCACCTGCTGTTCCATGTGGCTCTCTCTGCTGCTGTGAGCAGGAAAGGCTTTGTGTGCTGCCCTTGCCCCCAGAAAAATCTTTCAGTTTCTATTGGCTGGAAAGTGCCCAATGGGAGCTGAGAAATTGTGCTATACTGCCCCTGCCCAATGGACAACTGTATTTTCCTATGCTGAATATGTGAATTGGTAAATTACTCATATTCAAGCGAGTTCAGTAGCAATCAGCCAGAACTATGCAGTACAAACATTCAAATTAGCATCAAGTTGACTGAGGCCTAGTTCAAAAGAAATATTGTGTAGTTAGATTCTTTTCATTTAGTTCACATGGGGAAAGGTGTAACACGCACATTCCTAAACCCTTCTCTCACACAGGAAAGGTGACTGACTGACCTGACTGCAGCAGGGTCTTGGGCTTTCCTGGGGTGCTGACTCAGCCAGTCACTGTGGGGGAAGGAAGAAGCCAGGCTGTTGGTGAGCTTAGCACTCTGACCAAGAGCTGGTTCTCTGTACAGTGCAGGAAGTGGGATGCATCATACCAGGAGGGTTATGGAGGATCAGTGGCATTGAGGAAGGCAAAGGGGCAAAGCAGGGAGACGACAGCAAGAAGAGAAGCATGTAAAGGGCTGATGGGTAGGTAGCAGAGGTGACACATAACCAGCTGATGCCTGTCGCCTGCCTGTGCTCACCAGCCAACATAGCTCACAGTATACAGCCAGTGCCACCTGGAAATAAGATGGGATCCAGGGACAGTGGGAGAGCTGTGTTGCATTTCTGTGCATTGTAGATTTCCCCTTCCACTAAGCTTGCACATCTATCCATCAACAGCCATTGGACCCTACCACACATTGCTAGTAGGCAGGTCTCTGGCAAGCAGGGATCCAGCTAGAAGCAGGATCCAACAGTGCTAATGGGACGAGAGAAAATACGAGACAATTTGCTCCTTTAAAAAAAAAGTTGGGACACCTGCAGGCAAGCTTAAATAGGCGACTGTCCCTTTTAAAATGGGATGTCTGGTCACCTTATACTTCACCTGCTTTGTCTCTCTTCTACCCTGGGACCAATACAGCTGCAACAACACTGCATCCAAATTGATTGACATAATTCTACATAGAAGTCTATGCAGTATTATTTTTTGGAATGGTTCCAATATCATCAAAATCAGAAAGTACCTCAAGAGCACAATGAATATTGCATATTGTTCTATGCACTAGAATGTCAATAACCTAGATGGAAATCAGAAGAACCAAAGGGGTGGGGAAGAAGTATGGGACAAGAGAGATTAATACAGTATGTGGAAAGATTAACAGAATGTCCTATTCTTGTAGGATCTCAGTCTTCAAGTGAATTCTTCATAGGCTCTGGCATCCAAAGGGGTCAGGCCCTTAGTAGTTTATGCATCACAGTCTTTGGAACATGTTATTTGGAGGATAAAAATACCATGGAAATAGAAAAGTTGCTAAATGCAGGTCATGTAGATTGTAATTGGTAATCATGGGATGAAACTGAGAAAAGAAATATTTAAACAGAAATTGAGGAGAGATTTCTTAATATCAAAACTAGGGAGGTTGATGAGGACTTCTTTATATATGGCTTATTTAGGTATCAAATAGGAATGTAGGAAGTTTGGAAGTGAAAGGTTAACAGTTTAAGTAAGCATCATCCTAAATGGGTAATGCTTACCAGTTCCAGTTAATTGGTAACCAGTGAGGGCTCACGCAGCTCCTTGTCTGCTGTGGGCAGAGGGTTTGGATTAGGAGCCACAGACAGAGTCTGCGGTCATCTGTATCAGCCTCTGCCTGTGGCAGACCTGGGCATCCCTCAAACAGAGGGTGCTCTGGCATCTGGAGCAGCCTCTGTCCGCGGGGAGTCTGGGTGCGCTGCAAACAGGGATTACTCCTGCAGAGCATACTCTGTCCATGCAGAGCAAGGGCACCCTGCATGCAGGGGCTGCTCTTGAGGGGCCTCGGACCCGGGATTTGGCAGCAGCCCCAGCCCTCGGCTGGCTGAGCCAGCTCCAGCTCCAGCTCCATCCCCATCCCCAGTGCAGGACTAGTAGCCAGCAGCCAGGCCAAGGGTGGAAGCCTTGCACTCTGGGGGCTGCTTCAGCTGGGCTGGAGTGGTCCCCAACCTAAGTCTTAGTTAGTCAGTTAGGTTGACCTAACTTTTGACTGGTGAACATTTAACTGGTTAACTGATTAATTGAGATTTTACATCTTTGGTAGAAAGAAAGCCAAAGTAAGCTTGATCTTTTCCCAACCTTATTTCGTTAAATTTGAGTTTTGGATCAGTTCTCATAGCAGGCAGAGCATGTAGTGATGCCTGTTAAGGTTGCCTTCTCTGTTTTCACTTATTTGTTATTAAATCTAAATCTAAATCAATTAATTTAGTTGATGGACTAATATATAATCTTTATGGACTAATATATAATCATGGAAATACATGTGTTTTACATAACAGAAATATCTGTGGCTCTTCTTTGTCACCTTATGAGGGGTCTTGGTACCCCCTCAGGGGTCCTTATCGTAAGTCACTGCTCTGGGGATCCCTGAGACCCCTGCACCCAAAAAACCCAGCTCAGTTCCCTTTGTCCCCAAAGTTCCCAGACCAGTTCCTTCAGTCCCCCAAACTTCTGAGGCCAATTCTGGCTGTTGCATGGGCTTGTCTTCAAGAGAGGTAGGGGGGCCCGGGCCCTCCCTCACCTCCGGGCCCCAACCCAGGACCCTGAAGGCAGAGGTATTCCCCACTGTCAGGAGTTGTGGGGGTCCCTAGCCAAAGCACGCCACCCCCTTCTGGGACCAACAGCCCTGTCCTGGGTCGTTTCCTACTTCTCTCTGGTTCTTAGGGGTTGTGCGAGTCCGTAGGGTGCTTCCCTGTTCCACCGCACTGTGCCAGTTGCCCAGTCGTGATACTTGCCACCAGGTCTTCCATGTCCCCGCTTTGGCTTCGCCCTCTCAGTACCAGCACCTCCTTCGTCACGGGGTAGTCGCTACATCTGGTCAGGCTCTCCTGTAGCTCAGCATCCGGGGGTACCTGCTGGGGAGACTGTGTCCATACTCCGCCTGGGGATTTTGGAGGAAGGAGGGGGGGGTCCCGTCCCCCTCCCAGTGCCAAAGCCAGGTATGAGGCGGACTGGCAGAGAGGACTCTCTCTTCTGGCCCCTCCTCAGTTGGCCCCACCTGGCTCTCCTTCCCCCCTCCGGCCCAGGCCTCTTTATACTCTCTTGCCAGCCAGCATATCCATGCTCACCATCTGGCATATCGTGCTGGGCTCCTCAGCGGGAGGCGTTCCCCCTGGGTCCTGGTGCCTGCTGGATTCAGCCCCGCTGCCCAAGAGCAGGCGCCACAGCACCACTGCAGCAGCGTGTGCACCCCCAGAGTGCCACACCAACACCAAAAGTGCGGGGTCCGGGCACCCCATCACACACCTCTTTTAGCATCCAGCTCCCATCATCACTTATTCTCTGTTGTCCTTTTTTCTGTAGGTGTGCGTCCTTGCTTTCAAATCTTTACTATGATCATAAACCTCAAAGATTCTTTCTGTTATTGCCATCATTAGAATCTTTTCTCTTTGTAAACCACCACTTCCCATTGGCAGAGGGCTCCTAGCACATTGGCCAGTGTGAGTCCATTACAAAACATAAAGCCTGATCCTGACAGTCCCTAAGCTATCACAATTCCATTTTCAATAATGAATGTCAGGACCTCTCAGTGTTCAGGATCACCAAGGTACTAAGTGTTTTCTGAATGCTTCTGAACACTTTAATCTCCTGTAGATTTAAAAAGTCATTAATGCTCCTCAGCAACAATCGGAAGGCACTGGGTTCTTCACAGGATGGGGGCCTTTAATCAGGAAAAACAAATACAAACTGAACAACGAGGGTGAGAACCCTTATTTTTGTCAAGGTGAGAAATTTGTTGATGATATTCCACACAATTAAGTTCACTTTTCTGCTTCTGATTGCCCTTCTGTGCTTTCTTAATGTGACTTATGTGGTTGGGGACAGCGTAGAGTACTATTAGAAGTGGGGTACTGTAGAAGTAGGTGAGTCATTTGTAGGCTCATTTCAGAGAGCTAAATTCTATGATTAATTATGGTCCAGAGCTATACATTTCCCAGATGCACCATGGTATTCTCTTTGATGTCAATAAGAAGTTTTTTACAGAGATCAAGGGGACTATATGGTCTTTATTTAGTAACTAAACATTTAGTTATTTATTACTTTTTTAGTGCCTTCTTGTAGCATTCATCATTCTGAGGACAATCTGTTCCCCTTTAGGCTGCTGTGACCTCTGCTTTGTTTCTTTCATCCATCTCTTCTGTACTTTTCACTTACTTCCTTGCAGCAGCATCTTGTTCCCAACCCAGTGCATTTTGTCTAACCACTGAAATTATCAATAATTAAGTAAGAGAGTAATAGAGAGGTAGCTGTGTTAGTCTGATCTTGCTAAAACAAAAGGAAAAACTATGTAGCACTTTAAAGACTAATAAGATGGTGATGAGCTTTCGTGGGCCAGACCCACTTCCTGAGATCATATTCTGGAAGAGAATTGGCATGACCATATATACCAAAGGAATACAGTGAAAAAAGTGAACATATTATTAAACTGACAAATCAGATTTAGTACAGAAGGTGGGGTGAGGGGGAAGGAGGGAGGGAATAGCGATTTGAGTCAATGAATGGCTAATCAGGGGTGATAAGTGGGATTACTGACTGTAAAGAAAATAAATGAAAATTTTTGCCCCACCAAAAATGTTTTGTCAGAACTGAAAGGTTTTGTGGAAATGGAATGGTTCTGATAAAATTTTAATGGGGGAGAGTTGGCGGCGGGAGCTTTTCAGGTGCAGCACCTGAAAGAGGGAGAGACCCATCCACCCTAAAATAGTAGGTGGACGGCAGTTAGCATACTTGATTACAGTATAGGGAACCATGGGCTCCCAGCTCAACATAGGGACTTGAGCCTGGTGGGTTGCTCACACTTCAGAAAAATAGCTTAACCAACAGACAACTAACTGTGCTATTGCTGACCCACTAAACATTAAATGTATCAAAAGTGGGACAATTACATCAAAAGAGATTGAAAGTCTACATAATTTGTTGTTAGGGGACATGGGAGGCCCAGGTTCAAGTCCCTGGTAGATGTGTATTTGTGAATCTAACCTGTCCTTCAAAAAATGTAATATCTCAATAACTAAGACCCCACATCTGATGTGTGATTTCTCTACTGTGAATTATTTGTCCTTTTATTCATTTTGGATCAAACCAACAACAAAAACCATATCAATTAGAAAAATGTTTCTACAAGGCAGGAGTAATTAGTTTGCTGTGCAGTCTAAATGAGTGACACAATAATGGAACTAAGGCATGATTGGACGGGGGGAAAATGCATGATCTGTAGGAGGTAGCAACAGTTCCTGAAATCTGCATCTTTAACAGTGTGTCCCTCACTGAAACACTAAAGAACAGAAGCGAATCTCACAGCCTGAGAGGATAAACTTGTGTATTGGGGCTGATGCTAGTGCTCTAATAATAGTTGTGCAGAGACACCATGGAGCTTAGTTAAGAATGTTAAGTATTTACCTGTAGTCTTGACAGAGATGAAAATACAGAATTTAATTAAAATATTATTATTTCTAGGCTTCAAATGGATTACCAGAGTCAGTTACGTACTATTTAAACTTTGTGAAGAACAGAAGTAAAAATACTGAAAATCTTATATTGCAAGATGTAGAAGATGAAGAAACTGCAAGTAAGCTGTGATCATAATAAATTGATGTGTGATGTCCCCCTCAAGCCCTTATATTACCAAAATAAATCAAACTAACAGCCATCAGTAATATAATGTAAATCCTCAAACTCAACAAAACTATGAAACCTACTGCACAACTTTAACTCATCATCCAGTATGGAAGCTCCTATGGTCCTTTTTCAGAAGTTCTCTGGAAAGTATGTGGTCTGGTATAGCAGGGGTGGATACAGTTTGCCAAGGATAGCTCCTGTTGGGCTGACGGATACTAACCCTGATGAACTGCGTCCAGCCCACATGCCTCTTATTGCCCACTCCAACTGTATAGTATGTATGCATCATTTTTATTATTACAAAACAGTTTGTAAAGGATTGGCCAAGAAATATGCCCCTGTTCAGTGCTGTAGAAAAGTTGATTAATCGTTTATAGGCTGGACTGCCTAGGGCTTGAGGTTGTATTGTTTTTTTAACCTGAAACATAGCATGGACTCTTATTAATAAATTCTTATTAGTATAAGAGTGCTTAAAACCTGCATTCTTTTCTGCCTCGTTGACTCAGTCAAGGATATACTCACATTTCTGTGGTAATAACTGCATAATTTTAGATGAGCGTACAAAGGCATTTTATGCATGTGTTGTACTGAGGGCAATTTGAAGGTATCTCATCCTAAATTCCTTCTTTGTATCCTGCATAATTGTTTCCTACCCCACTACTGGTAAACCATCCAGGCTCCAGAATGTCCCTACGCTTGCCTCTGACTTCACTGACTGAAGAGTGATGCATAATGTTCCTTTGCTTTCTGGTTTCTTGAAGCTCCAATTTTGCAGACTCCACAAGGAGTCCAGTGTTTCTCAGTTACCAGTCTGTGGACTGGTGCTGGTCCCTGAGATCTTCTTGAAACAGTTTTGGAAGGCAGTGAGCTGGTCGCTGGTATCAAAAAGCTTGAGAAATATTGCTCTAGTCTAGACTATTCCGGTCAATCATGAGTTTTCTTTTTAATATTCTTTTCAAATACACATGTTTAGCACTTGTAATCTCTAGGGACCTAATCCAGATATAGTATTTGCTAGGGAGCAGCCTTGCACTTGGTTATTCGACACAGGTCCCAGAGCCACTTCTGATAAGTAATTTCAAAAAATTACTTCCTGAAATAGTACTACTTAGTCTCTTGAGACCAGGGGTGCACAGTAAGCATCCCACAGGTCAGATGCGGTTTGCCAGGGTTAGCCTCTGGTGGGCTGCCAGACTCTTTGTTTACTTGGGCATCTGCAGGTATGGCTGCTCGCAGGTCTTGTTGGCCATAGTTTGCTTTTCCCAGCCAATGGGAGCTATGGGAAGTAGTGCGGGCAGGGCACTTAGGGGAAGCTTCTTCAGTTTTATCAGTAGTAAGAATTATATATATTCTAAATATAATATATGCCTAGTTATTTATATTGTCCTTTTGTGGAGCTTCAATTTAACGCAGTTCTAATACTGTACAAGTAACCACACCAAACTTACTAGTGCCTTCTAGCTGGCGAATGTGTTTTGCCCTGTGGAGTGTTTTTCTTTGAATATATGCTGCTGTCATAGATTTTTTTTACTCTAATATTTAATTTGTATATATCCAGTGCTTTTAATTAGTTTAATTAGATTAAATTACTATTAAAGGAACCTATCTTGTCTGAGTGGATTTGGAGTTTTTCCTCAAAATAGTACCTGTGGTGAGCACTTTTTTAAAGAAAAAACACACTGTGCTTCACACTTTGGATTTTATGAACTGATAATAGGAAAGTACAATTCATCAGCGTTAGACTACCATATAACCTGATACCTTGGGAATGGAGGTTGTTCATAACTAGGAAATGTTTAAAACTCTGAACACAATGTTATGATTGTTCTTTTAAAAGTTTACAACTGAACAGTGACTTAATACAACTTTGAAACTGTACTATGCAGAAGAAAAATGCTTCTTTTATCCATCTTAATTGGAATCATAGAATCATAGAACCATAGAGCTGGAATGGACCTCAGAAGGTCATCAAGTCCAGCCCCCTGCTCTAGGCAGGACCAATCCCAACTAAATCAACCCGGCCAGGGCTTTGTCAAGCCGAGACTTAAACACCTCTAGGGATGGAGACTCCACTACTTCCGTAGGTAACCCATTCCAGTGCTTCACCACTCTCCTAGTGAAATAGTTTTTCCTAATATCCAAACTGGACCTCTCCCACCACAACTTGAGACCATTGCTCCTTGTTCTGCCATCCGTCACTACTGAGAACAGCCTTTCTCCATCCTTTTTGGAACCTCCCTTCAGGAAGTTGAAGAATGCTATCAAATTCCCCCTCTTCACTTCTGCAGACTAAACAGACCCAACTCCCTCAGCCTCTTTTCATAAGTCATGTGCTCTAGCCCCCTAATCAGTTTGGTTGCCCTCCGCTGGACCCTCTCCAATGCGTCCATGTCCTTTTTGTAGTGGGGGGTCCAGAACTGGACACAATACTTCAGATGTGGCCTCACCAAAGCCAAATAAAGAGGAATAATGACATCTCTGGATCTGCTGGCAATGCTCCCCTTAATGCAACTTAACATGTCATTAGCCTTCTTGGCAACAGGGACACAGTGTCGACTCATATCCAGCTTCTCATCCACTGTAACTCCCAGGTCCTTTTCTGCAGAACTACTACTTAACTGGTTGGTCCCCAGCTTGTAACTATGCGTGGGATTCTTCCATCCCAAGTGCAGGACTCCGCACTTGTCCTTGTTGAACCTCATCAGATTTCTTGTGGCCCAGTCCTCCAATTAAAATGAAACAAATATGGAAACAGTTTCCTTTCCTTGTCACATCTTTCTTTAAACATTACCTTTTTATTTTTTATATTTTATTTTTTTAGTAAATTATGTTTAACAAAATACTGCACTGTAATTATTTTATTTTTGTCTCTGCTGCTGCCTGATTGCATACTCCTGGTTCTAAATGAGGTCTGTGGTTGATGGGTCAGTTCATAAATGTGATGTTTGTAACTCTGAGATTCTACTGTACTTAGATTAAGACATTTTCTTACAATATCTTCCCCCTCCCATTTTCCTCCTCAGGTGAACACTATCAAGTAGTATCTAACCATGCTTCAGAGTACTTGGCAGAGTTGGCTTCTGAATACAATGAAGATCCAGAAGTATTGAAGAAGAGGGTATTCTGTGTTTAAATAATCTTTGTAGTACATTAGATTCAATAGTTATTACAGATAATAAACAATCTTGCAATGACTAATGCACGTTTAAAATTACACACTCCCTAAGTAGGACTACAAATGTGCCTGGTATATAAGATTAAGCATTGCATGTGGTTTGCAGGTTAGGGTCCTTGGTTGTGATTCAATTATTCCATAGATTAGGGGTCAGCAACCTATGGCATGCATGCTATCAGTGGCACGTGAGCTGATTTTCATTGGCATATGGGCGGGAACTCAGTCCAGCCCTGCCCCCTTACCCCACACAGCAGGAAGCCTGCACTGCTGCTTGATCAGAGTATTTCTTCTGATCTGTTCTTTTGCTGGAACTAGAGTTGCTGTGCCCATGAAAGCTCATGATACCATCTACATGTTTTGTTTGTCTATAAAGTGCTACCCCAGACTATTTGTTGTTTTTTTAAGTTTATTCTTTTAACAGAATTTTTTGGACTGTTGCAGATATCTAAAATTCTGATCTTAATGATTTTTTTAAAAAAATCCTGTGTTACTAAAACAGTAAGATTTGCATCTTAATTTATTTGTTAATGAAGCTACTATAAATAGGACTATTATTGACTTTAAAAATATCGACAGCATGCAGACCTGTAAATAGAAGTGAATATGTTAAATCTCAGCACACCAATTCTGAAAGTTTGCTGACCCCTGCCATAGATCATGAAATTATAATATTTGATATAAATGTTTAGTAGTCTTAACTGGCGGTGTGTGAACATTAAATTGACTAAAATAGGCTTGGATTGTTATAGCTTCATCCCTTTTCATTTTATCCTGAGAAAGTGTTTGGTTTTATTCAGATACTGTCTGAAATAGAAAATGAAGAAATGCAGGCCAGTGCTGGTCCTGACAGTAATAGTCAACCCAACAGTGAGGACATAACTGGCAGTGTGGTTGCTGATGAATGTTCTGTTGCAGGTAAACTAACTTAATATAAATGTATTTGTGCTACTGATTAGTTCAGTACTTATATTTGCCATATAAAGTATTTTTTCTGATCTATTCTTTTGATGAGAGTAATCATGCAAGTCAAGTACAATATATATTACAATGGGATTTAGATGTTGGAACCAGAGTTACTTTGCCAATTGTAAGATTGAGATCTTATCTTATTTTTTCCTGTCTAAAGTCTTGATAATAAATGTATTTCAAATGCACAAATAATTTAAGTAATATCATTTGTTAGTTAATTTAATGTATTGGTTGGCTAAGCAAACTTAAAGGTCCCCAAATCAACAAAGGTACCAATCTTAATTTTTGATAATTTCAGTTGTATTGACATTAAGGGCCACATTTGCAGAATGTTTCTTTGGTCTGATTATCCAGGTTTTTTTGCACGTCAATCTCATTCAAGTGCCCCAACTGAGTGCAAAGAAAGTTTGTATGTGTCTGTTTTCTTATTCTCCAAGCAAAATATAATATGAACATTAATAGAAGCTAAATTGTGGGCACCGAGCATTTGCTTTATAGACTATTCACTTTAAATACATAATAGACAGACTAGGAAAGAATGTCACCCTTGAATGCGGTCTCTGTATTCTGCTGTGGTAGAATATGAGAGCTATAAAAGTCCATATTTGGCCAAGGGAACATTTCCCTGATGCTTGCATAGATATGACTGCCAAACAGCCCTACATAGAGCCCCTTACAAATACTAGTATAGTGGGTATGCATGCTTGTGACAGGTCCTTGGGCTGTACAAACAGAATCTTACTTGTATTGTTTTCTTGTCAATATATTAAAATATTTCATGATTTCAGATAAATAATTACTATGAGCTCAGATCTTCAGTCAAAATGTGCGCTTGCTTAAATGTTTGTAGATAACGATGACATGACTGTAAGCTTCACTTACCTTGAAGTAGAAGAAAGGTGCAAGCAAGAATTTGAGCTGTGGGAGGAGCAACAAAAAGAACTTGAAAAACAGAAAAGGAAAAAACTAAAAGCTGAGATGGAAATAGAGGAAAAACAAAATGAGGATGAAAAGAAGAGAAGGCAACTATGTCTGGAGGAATTTGAGACTGAAAGAATGAAGTTAGAGACGCTTCATAAGGTAACATTTAAAAACAAGATACTGATAGCATACCCCTTTATTAATCTGGACTACTTGAATCAACAGCTCCAATGCCGAAGAGAGGAATAAATGTACCCTCTCAAATCTGTGCACAACTCAGTGTCTCCATACTTGTGGTTTGAAAGAGATACTGCTGAGAATAGATCATGTAAGGTTTTTTATTATGATTCTCTTTCTTCTTCCCTGTTTTGATCAGCTGTGAATAATTTAACAAAGATGATACTTAAATTTTCACCATTAGGCTTTATCATTATTAGTTAATATTTATTGTATGATACCAGCCAAAATCCCTGGACAAGAATGGAACCCCAGAATGCTAAATGCTGGACAGGTACAAAATACACAACTCAGACTTTTTTCATGGAAAACTTTGGCTTTTTTTGTGAAAAATCCAAAATAAAATGTTTTGGCTGAAAGCATGTCTTCTGGCAGTTTTAGTTCTGATTTCTTAGGGTATGTCTACACTGCATGCTTATTTTGAAATAAGCTATTCTGGAATAGTTATTCCAAAATAGCTTTTTTCAAAATAGCACGTCTGCACTGCAGGGAAGCCTCAAAATTAGTCCAAGGCAGGCTGCCCTAATGTAGACTTGCTACCTTTATTTAGAGCCACAGGAGGCACCAGGGAGGAATAAGTTAGAATGGCCCTGGTGAGGGGCTATTTTGAAATAGCAGTAGAGGAGCATCTATACACACCTTATTTCGAAATAGCTGTTTCGGAATAAGCATTATTCCTTGTAGAATGAGGTTTATAGATTTTGGAATAAGCTGTCTGTTATTTTGAAATTATTTGAAATAACGGAATCGCTGTGTAGACACTCACATTGTTAATTTGAAATAATTCTAGTTATCTTGAAATAATGGTGCAGTATAGAAGCACCTTATTCTCAGTTTCTTCTCTTCATGTAGTTCTCTAGTCAAGAGAGTGGTTGCATCATGGAAGATGTATTCTGGCTGGGAATCCCAGACCATAGAGAAGAATGAGGGCATAAGGAAAACAAATTATAGCTTCCATGAAGAACCTGATTCAGATGTTTAAATTCAGGGATTTTTTCAATTTTTTGTGGAAGTTTATACTTTTGTGAAATTTTTCATTTAATTGAAATCCAAGTTTTCTGTAAAAAATGTGTTGGTATAAAATTTTAATTTAGCTGTAGGAGACATTGTTCCTTCTTCAAAGAGCTTATGAACTTCAGAGCTATACACTATTCTAATGAGGGCAGTTCACGTTTCTGTCAGAGCTATTGTTCCATACTTAGACGTCATTGCATCAGTTAGCTTTCATGCATTTTGAAGGATCTCTTTATGACCCATATAGGTAGACACTTTATTTTCAACCACAGATTGACGATTTTTGAAGAACAAGATGGCAGCTATCTGGGTACAGTTCCAATTTGCTGACCTTATTCTGTTTTTCAGGTTATGATCAAATGGATGATACTGAATCTGAGTTTTTAGCTGCTTGATTTTTCTGATTTGACCAACCTGATTACTTTTTATACTTCAAGTGTCAACACAAAATAAATGGCTCTTTGGAGAATGCAATTTTTATAAATAGCTATGATTTTAGTGAGTTACACAATGAAATATATTAAAATAATTTAATTAAGATTACTTGTTTATACAGCAGCAACAAGCTATGATGGAAGATGAGTTATTAAAAGAAAAAGAAGTTTGGCAAGAAAAGTTTAAGCAACATGAGGTAACTTATATTTGTGACCTTTGTCAAAGAATTTGAATGTTATTGTAATAATTGAAAGATACTTTCATTGTTATTGAATTTGATTGTGCTTTTCTTCATGATTTTAGCATATGGATTAAGAGAGATACCTTTGTGGTTTTAAAAAGGAAAAAAAGGGTTTTTTTAAATTTGGGAAAGCAGCCCTTCTTTTAAGACAGTTAGTTCTGGCTGAGCAATCCATTTCTCTTCTTGTTTGAGCAGCTGCAAATAGCAGTTAGGTTCTTCAGCTAAGCAAAACCTTTAGTCAACTTTTCAAACTGGAATTTGTCTCTGTGTGTGTATAAGATGACAATCCTATGTCCAGAGTAATCTGGAAAAATCCAAGAAGAAACCATATTAACAGAAGATAAAATATATTTTAAGAATAAATCAATGTCTGTCTTGTTTCACACATTACATATTAAGAAAGATTTTAATAATTTAGATGCTGAATAAAATGTATATCCATTGTTTTGGCATAGGAATTGATCAAAAGTCTACAGTTGCAAATAGAAGAGGCGAAAAGGATCTTTGAAGAGCAGAAAGCAAAAGAAAGACAAAGTTTGGCAGAGCAGTGGAATACAGCAGCTGTAAAAATCCAAGCTAGATTTAGAGCATTTGTTGTTTACAGAAAATATGCTCCTATCTTAAAAGAATGGAGAGCAGAAATTAAAAGGAAGAAGGAATTGCAACAAAAAATGGAGAGAGATAAGAGAGAAAAGGAAGAAAAAATGATGAAAAGGATCCAGGAAAGGAAGCAAAAAGAAGAGGAGGCAAGAAAAAGACAAGAAGAAATTGAAAGACAAGCATATATGGAACGGGTGAGGAGACGTGAGGAGTATGAAAAGAAGAAAGTCAGTATGAGGCTTGCACGAGAAAAGAGCCTACAGGAAGTATCAAGAGGGCAACAAGGAATAAAACAAAAAGAGAAAATAGCAATAAACACAGCAGTTGTAAATAGAGATAAAGATACAAAAAATATGAAGGAAGAAAAAGGAGAAAATACAGAAGACAAAATTGATCAGGAAAAGGAGCAGAAGAAACAAATATTGGAAATAAGAGAAGAGGGAAAGAAACAAAAAGAAAAACATGTTGGAAAGATACAAGAGGCAAATAATTCAGAGAATCTAAAAGACAAAAAACAGACATCACCAAACTCTGAGAAGAAAGAAGAGTCTCATGAAAAAGGTAATGAAAATGAAGATGGATATTTGATGACACATACAGGAAAAAGTTCTCTGCAAACTACAGTCCTTGACAAAAACACAAATACAAATATGCTGGACAGAGAAGCCATTGTCCTTGTAGCTAATGATGCATTCACAAATAAGGAGAACAGTAGTCACATCAGTCAGTGGCACGTGGAGGCCCAGGCATATACCAGCAACAGTAAACACAAAGTGCAATTTTGTAAGTCTGAAACAATTAAAACAGCAGAGGTTGTGATGAAGGAAACTCAGGAGGAAGTTGCTGAGGATTGGGACAATAGCGTGAGTGCAATTAAGTCTTTTGAAAGGCCCCTAACACAGCTTGATGATGTTGAAAAGAGGAGGCTAACTTGGATGAGGACATGCAAACCCTGGTCTAAAATTTATATGGAAAACCAAAGAAAGAAAGTAGTTAAAAGAAGCAGACCAAGAAAAAGCTCAGCTAGCAAGATGCCTCCATTAAGTACAGAAATTATTCTCCAGTGTGGCCTTTGGAATGCCCTCCAACAGGTAACAAAAAACTGTAAGTGATTCTTAAACAGTGATCTCTGTGAGAGATGACTAGTCAGGTGAGGTGGAATTTTCAAAACTGCCAGCCTGGGCCTAATAATTGGTTTTCCCATTTACTTCTTCAAAGAGCAAAGAATAAGGTCAGTGTTGAATATTTTGAAAATTTTGCTTATGGAGCTGATTCTTGTTTTTCAGCTGCTAAAT